TGTTTTGTTAAAGAACCATTTCTGAATGGCAAAGTAAAAATATTTTATTTAACACGTTACTAAACATGAAATGTTAAGATGTTCCATTACTGAAACATTTTCCCACTTTGATATTATTTTGCAACACGTAAGTTCTGTAAAGCTTGTTTTTTTTTAAATCAACAGCACCAAAGAGGTAATATAACTGAGGTAAGATAACACTTAACTCAAGCCCAAGAGTTAATCTATCTGATCAACTTTCCATTATTTTCTGCTTGTAATTTCATGAAGCTCTTGCTCAGAGGGATGGATCAACAAACCGAAACCGACAATGATTGAGCACATGCTTTACTAAACTACTCGAGCCAGCTGCAATGCATAAAGATCTAGTTGCAGAAACCTTCAAATATACACACTCACACACACACACACGACAACAACTTGGATTTATATAGTGCCCTCCACGCCGTAAGGCGTCTCAGAGCACTTTACAGGAATGGATCCCGGTTCCGAGCCAGGGGGAGGGGGAGGAAAGTGACCAAAGGCGCAGTCGAAAAGAAAGGTCTTCAGCAGAGACCTGAAAATGGGGAGGGAGGGAGGTGAAGGGAGTGAGGAAGGCAGTTCCAGAGCCTCAGGGCACAGTGGCTGAAGGCACGGCCACCGAGGGTGGAGCGGAGAACTCGGGGGATGAGGAGGAGGCCAGACCCGGAGGAACGAAGGTACAGGTACTGTTTTGAGGAGAGAGGAGGTCAGAGAGGTAGGGGGCTGTAGAGGAGTGTAGGTACTTGAATACAAGGGTGAGGATCTTGAAATCGATCCTCTCTGGGATAGGCAGCCAGTGCAGTCTGGCAAGGACTGGGGTGATCGGGGAGCGGAGTTTCGTGCGGGTGAGAGTGCAGGCGGCAGAGTTTTGAATGATTTGGATTTTATGGATGGTAGTGGATGGAAAACCCGCGAGGAGGGGGTTAAAGTAGTCCAGCCGAGAGATGATAAAGGCATGGACCAGGGTTTCCGCAGCTTTTGGGGAGAGGTATTGGCGGAGACGGGCGATGCGACGGAGGTGGTAGAAGACGGTGCTGGTGAGGGTCCGGGTTTGGGGGAGGAAGGATAATTGGGGGTCGACCCTGACCCCTAGGTTGCGTACGGGTTCGGAGAGTTTTAGGGGGAGGTCAGGTAGGTGGAGGAGGTGAGAGCAGTGAGATTTTAGACGTTGATGAGAGCCAAAGAGTATGGCTTCCGTCTTGTCAATGTTCAGCTGAAGGAAATTTGCGCTCATTCAATCCCTTATGTCTGACAGGCAGGCTGACAGAACATCAGGGGAATGAGGGTTGCAAAGAGAGGTGGAAAAATAGAGTTGGGTGTCGTCTGCATACATGTGGAAGTGTACCCCATGTCTGCGGATGACATCCCCAAGAGGAAGTATATAGATCAGAAAGAGGAGGGGGCTACGGATGGATCCTTGGGGTACCCCGCAGGTGACCGGGTGAGAGCGGGTGGAGAAGCCGTTTATGCAGATGTACTGCTGGCAGTTTGTGAGGTAGGACTCGAACCAGGTGAGTGCGGTCCCACTGAGGTGGATGACGGAGGAAAGGCGGTGGAGGAGGATGGCGTGATTGACTGTGTCGAACGCGGCGGAGAGGTCCAGGAGGACAAGGAGGCAGAGGGAGCCCTGGTCACAGATAGAGAGGATGTCGATTGTGACTTTCACAAGCTCAATCTCTGTACTGTGGGCAGAGCGGAAACCGGACTGGAGGGGTTGGAAGAGGGAGTGGGAGGAGAGGTGTGCGCGGAGTTGGTTGGCAACAATGCGTTCTAGAACTTTTGAGAGGAAGGGCAGGTTAGAAATAGGGTGGAAGTGGCTGGGGTTTGAGGGATCTTGGGAGGGTATTTTCAGGAGGGGGGTGATGACAGCAGTTTTGAGGGGGGCAGGGACTGATCCAGAAGAGAGGGACTGGTTGATGACGTCAGCCAGTAGTGGGCAGAGGAGGGGGAGCTGGGTGACCAGCAAGTCGGTGGGGAGGGGTCGAGGCAGCAGGTGGTGTGCTTCATGGAGGTGATGGTGGGTGAGAGGGAGGAGGGAAAGATGGTGAGGAAGGAATGTAGAATGGGGGTGGTGGTAGGAGCAGATGATGAGGAAGGTGAGGGGGACAGAGAGCGCGTGGTGGTGGGTGACAAGGGGCAGGTGGATGAGGCTGCCTGGCGGATGTTAAGTATTTTAGATGAAAAGAAGGCCATGACCTCCTCGCACTTGGCATTTGATACGAAGATGGAGGAGGCCTGAGGGGGGGCAAGGAGGAGGTAGTAGGTGGTGGAAAAAAGGATTTTAGCCTCCAAAATGATGTTGGAGTAGAAGGCCGTTTTTGCGCATGTCAAAGAACGACGGTAGCTGTGGAGATGCTCGAGCCACAGTTGGCGGTGAACTGTTAGGCCAGTTTTCCGCCATTTGCGCTCGAGCAGACGGATTTGGGTCTTTAGGCGCGGAAATGGTTGTTGTACCAGGGGGATCGGGTGTGTTTGGAGATGGTCCTGGATTTTAGGGGGACAAGGGACACAGCACATATAATATATGTATATGTTTCAGAAGATATCAGAAAACTATTATAGAAAATATCTGTCGGAAAAGGGCAGGCATTTAGAGCAAAGAATAAGCATAGCCTTTAGATAAGGAGTGTGTCCAACCAGCTACGAGATTTTATATTTTACTACGCATATGCCTTACTGGAAATGGTCCATACAATATAATCACTAGTTTTATGTTCAAAAGTATCCAATGCCTGTAACTCACATAGATTGGGTCAAGTTATCATGCTATAACATTTAATAATGATATAGCGCTTTTCATGTCTTCTAGACGTCTCAAAGCGCTTCACAGAATATACTGTAAAGTGAATTGACTGTATATTTTGTGGGCGAAACGCAGCAGCTAATTGCGCACAATAGTGTCCTACAAACAGTCACAGATTTCATTTAGAGCTATATTAAAAACTAGAAGACTCTCATCCTAGCGTTCTAAAACAATTTCCCTGGCTGTTTATACAAGTAATTTTCAAACAGAAATTACTGTATTTACCAACCACGCCAATTTATTAACTTGAAGTACAGTGCAATCGTGAATATCCATTATAATGGATAATTGAAATTGGTAGGTAATCAAGGTCTTCATTTTCTGTGGATTCTGTAACAACAAATGTTCCAGCCTCCATGAATGATGAATCAGCAAATACATTTAGTACATAGCTGAGTCACACAGACGGAAAAGATTCATAGGTGGGGCATTTTCATCTACTTCATCCCTAGTTTAGGGAAGCAAAAAAAATGCCACGGATCCGAATCTTTATTGCTATCTCAAAGTACAAATGCTGATGCCTCAAATATGAGGGGTCCCCACACCCCCGAATTCAAGTCAGCTAGCCCGCAACACTCACTGTCAAGGCTCACACATAAGGCCCACTTGTGTGAGAAACAAGAGGCACATACCATCCATAAAACTATACCCCAAATTTGCTTTTGTCCACAAATAATGGTTTAAAAAAATGGCGAACACCAGGTCTCAGTTTCGCCCTGCACATAGCACAGAGACAGCGCTTGTCAAAGTCACAAACGACATCCTCGCTATCTGTGACCAAGGTTCCCTCAGCATCCTTGTGCTTCTGGATCTCTCTGCTGCATTCGACACAGTCGACCCCGCCATCCTCCTCCACCGCTTTTCCTCCCTCATCTATCTTAGTGGGACCACACTCACATGGGTCGAGTCTTACTTAGCCAACTGCCTCCATTTCATCTGGGCAAATGGTTTCTCCTCCCACCCCGGCCCGGTCACCTGCAGTGTACCACAGGGCTCCATCCTTGGCCCTCTTCTACTCCTTATCTCTATGCTCCCACTGGGCAATGTCATCCGCAGTCACTGGGTAAACTTCCACATGTATGCTGATGACGCATAAATCTACTTGGCCTCCTGCAGTACCAACTCCAGGTCCACCAATGTTCTATCAGCTTGTCTGGCAGACATCAAGGCCTGGATGAGTGCAAACTTCCTGCAGCTGAATGTGGACATGATGGAAACCATACTTCTTGGATCCCGACAACGTCTTCACTCCTGCGGATCTAAACTCCTCAAACTCCGTGGGCTCTCCCTCAGACTCACCGAACCAGTGAGCAATCTAGGCATCCAGTTCAACCCCCAGCTATCTTTCCACCCCCACATCTGGTCCTTGACCAGGAGCGCCTTCTTCCACCTCCGCCACATTGCCCGCCTCTGACCATACCTTACCCCAAATGCAGCCGAAACCCTCGTGCATGCGTGTGTCACCGCCTGCTTGGATTACTTAAACACAGTCCTCGCCGGTCTCCTCAGCTCCACTTTTCAAAAGATCCAACTCATCCAGAACTTTGTCACCCGTATACTGACCTGGACCAAACTCCACACCCACATCTCACCAGTTCTGGCCAGGCTCCACTGGCTGCTCATCACCGAACAGATCGACTTCAAAATCCTCACACTCATGCTCAAATCCCTTCACTCTCTGGCACCTCCCTATCTCTCTGACAACATCATTCCCCAATCCACCTCCCGGTGCCTCCGCTCAACTGGCACCGGCCTCCTGCTCATCCCTCGCACCCCGCACCTTATCATCGAAGGTCGAGCTTTCAGCCACTATGCCCCCAAACTCTGGAACAATCTCCCTCAATCCATCTCCCCTGCCCCCTCTCTCCCCTTTTTCAAGTCTCATCTGAAGACCTTCCTCTTCGACCGTGCCTTTGGCTACCTCCCCCAACCCCCACATCCCCCCCAGCTCGAAATCAGGCACCGCCACTGTTAAGTGCTCTGAGACACTACCCTGCGTTGGAGGGCAAGTTGTTGTTGTAACCATATATAAGTGCAAGTTGTTGTTGTAACCATATTTTGTTGCTCGATTGTGCTAACAGATACCCAACAGTGATGCTGGTGCTACACCTAGATAAAAGGATGATGGGACTATATATGATCTGAAGGTCCATCCGTTCAGTTTGGGTATTCTTACCTGGATATGGAATTTTTCCATATGTGATGATTTCATACTGGAGCACACCAAAGGACCAAACATCTGACTTAATGGTAAATGAGCCGTAACTTATAGCTTCAGGTGCCGTCCATTTAATGGGGAACTTGGCTCCTGCAAAACAAAAATGTTGGTATTTAGTGATTCTGAAAGACAGTAAGCAGGTCTAACTATCAAGTGCGCCATGCTACAATAACGATAAAATAAATAGGCTTTCTGAGCTAATTCAAGGGATACTAGTCTTGTGTGTCAGCCTGGCTCAATTGGTCGCATTCTCGCCTCGGACTCAGGAAGGTTGTGTGTTTAAGGCCCACGTAATTCATGCGGTCTAAGCAGTATTGGCTTGTTAGACATGCTGTCCTTTAAATGAACATTAAACCGAGGTCCCATCTGCCAGTTCAGGTGGACATTAAAGATCCCATGGCATTATTTGAAATGAAAAGTGAATGTCTCCCAGTGTCCTGGCCAACAATCTCCCATACTGCTGTGCACAATTGGCTGCTGTGGTTTGCCCACAAATATACAGTCAATTCACTTTACAGTATATTCTGTGATGCGCTTTAAGATGTCTGGAAGACATGAAAATCATTATATCAAATGCAAGGATTGTTATTATTATTATAAAATTGGTTGTTAACTCTATGATTGTTTGTGGGACAGCGCTGTGTGGAAATTAGTTGCTGCATTTGCCTAAAAAGACACTGCACTTTGCAGTATGTTCTGTGAATCCTCCTGACGTGAAAGGTGATATATACCAAAGGTAAGGATTATTATTTTACTTTATTATTGAATCTCAGTCAGGGCATTATCCAGAGAGGCAATTTTCAAGGTCCAGGTCAATCTTCAGATCCACCTGTGTGCTCAAACGTACCTTCTTTGGCTGTGTACTCATTGTCTTCAATTATTCGAGCAAGACCAAAGTCAGCAATTTTACACATCAGATTCACAGACACCAGAACATTTGCAGCTCTAAGGTCTCGGTGGATGTAATTTTTCCTTTCAATGTATGCCATTCCTTCTGCTATCTGCAACAGAACAAAAACACATTGCGGTTTTATCAGTTTTTAAGAGATGTATAAAATTTAGAATCAAAACGCTTCAATTGATAGCAATGTACAGGTGAGCCCTAGGTTTCCCTCAAGTGCCACAAAGTGGTTTCTATTATTAAAAAAAAGTTATTTTCCTTCCAGAGGGTTTGCCCTTAGTAAGCCAGCTTTTCTTGTAACGCAGCTAAAATATGCTTTGCATCCTTTTTGCACTAAGAAGAAAGTATCATTCAGCTTGCTATATGTAGCAAACAATTCCTGGAAAGGAAGAAAATAAAACAGCAATGTGCACTACAGAAAGCAACCACACCTCTTTTGGGCTGTCTACCCCCTCAGTGTACATCGTGTCCCCAGCATGAAACCTGACAAAGGATTAAAAAAAACCTTCACACAATTACTGGAAAAACATTTGCTCCAGGGATTAGAGCCATTAGTTTGCAGTTTTGTAGTACTCCGTTGATCTTAGGGCAACACACAATGAACAATGGGTAAATGAAAAAATATTCAGCGAGCAGCAATACCTCTGCCTGCTCTTAATAAGTGGAAGAGTCAAAAAACGTGAACCTCAGCGTTAAATACACAGAAATAAAGAAAAATGAAGAAACTGACACTCCAGTGTGGTGCTGAGGGTGTGCTGCACTGTTGGAGATGCTGTCCTTCGGATGAGCCATTAAACTGAGGTCTCATCTGCCTGTTCGAGTACATGTTAAAAATCCCAATTCATAAAAAGGAGGGGCGTTTCTCCCAGTGACCTGGTTAATAATCCTCCAGTAAAATTGGTCACTCACTTCATTTGCTATTTGTGGGACATTGTTGTGCACAGATTGGCTATCGAGTTTACCTATATTACGTTTTACAGGTAAGTGCTTTGAGACATCCTCCTGATAAAGAAGGTCCTATATTATTGCAAGTATTATTAATTATTATTAATTTTAATTTAATTTTAAACAACATAGGATTCAAAAATCAATATAAAATAAAGAGATTCACACACAAAAAAAGGAACTTTGGCACTTTGGCAGGCAGGTTTCATTTTGATTGTACATCCCCTTTCTTCACACCAACTATCAGCTAGCCTCACTATGAGTAGCATATGATTTGAGTTCCCAGTCGCAGAAATATTGCAGTCAAATAAGATACATAATCACAACACTACAGACATCCTGTGAAGCACTTTGATAACTCTTAACAATGTAATGCAAGGATTGTTATAAGTTAAAGCCAACTATTAAGAGTACAAATTTATTCCAACAAACAAAAAGCTCAATCTCCTGTCGTACTGTTAGACAGCTATAATTGAATTTCGTGCCCTGGATTTTTTTTGGTGGAATGCGGGAGGGAAGGGAAATTCAGCCAAGGATTCTGTCATTGAAGGTTTTCTCATGGGCCAATCTTAAAACTACAGTATTCAAATTTAAGGCGTTATATAGTTTTGAAAAATTGTTAAAACGATTTGCATAAATTAGAGTTTAAGAAAAAAATGAGACTTTACAATAATGGAGATAATTTAACAACTTGTGTAGACTAATTAATTCCAGCTACATTTTGTAATATTCACACTGGACAAGGTAAAAAACAGACAATTTAACCTTTAATTCAGCATCACAGCAAACAAGTATACCTTGGTAGGAACAGTTCACCATATTAGCACACTTAAAAAAAACTCTTACAAGTCACAATGATGGGTAAACCCATGTATTTGCAAAACTCGCAGTGGTCAGCTTTTCAGTTCCTCTTTCACAAAGTAGCAATGGAAAATATGACCACGGTACTATTTTTTCTTCTGTACCTTCTCAGCAGTGTCTGAACTGACATTATAAATTATTTTTAGTAGCAAAACTACCACACCAAATCTTTCCGAAAAAACAAATGTTGCAAAGAATACAAAATCGCTACAGTTTTTAGTAATCTCAACAGCAGTTTGTGGGACATTGCTGTGCACAAATTGGCTGCCGCATTCGTCCACAAAATCTCCATTCACCACGCAAATTAATTTCCTGGATGTTTCTAAACTATATTTCATACTGAAAATTATTTATTTTGGTCATTTAAAATAAAAAACTTCAAGGTTAGGAGCCCAGGCTATCACAGAGGGTATAGCACTGCCACGACACAAAATAAAGCTCTCCCTACACCCCTCAACTGTATGCTTAAAAGAACATTTCCCACTGCTCAGACTGACCAGTTTTGTGGATGAGTCATATTGCCACTAATGTATGGGATTCAGATTACCCAAGATCATTTCACATGGAAACATTATAGCCAGGGTTCCACAGCATCTGGCTAGAATTAAAATGTATATGTTCGTCCCAGTGCACCAGCCAGTCAGTTATCACAACAGTCAGTCACCACACTAACAGCAAAGAAGATATTTTAGAAGAGCTACAGGAATATTCTAAATAAATTAGAAATTGCTATGGCAACATAATCATGAACCAGGAAACCATATGTCGCCATAACCCCAGACTTTGTGTGGCAAGGTTCTGAATACCAGGTGGCTGACTGATTCATGTTAGGTCCCACGTGCACTAACGAACATCTACAAGTGCATTTCCTTTGCTTTCTGATCCTCATAGCCTTGTTCTATTATATTGCCACTCAACAGTTTCGCTCCCCATCCTCTTGTTCTTCGGCTGATATTTTACTCTGATCACTAAAACATGGCTAAGTCTTTATAATAATAATAATCCTTGCATTTGATATAGCACTTTTCACGTCGGGAGGACGTCCCAAAGCGCTTCACAGAACACACTGTAAAGTGAATTGTCTGTATATTTGTGGGCGAACGCGGCAGCCAATTGCACACAGCAGTGTCCCACAAACAGTCGTGGATTGAAAATGACCAATTTATTATTGTTTTTGGTTTTATTAGGCGTGTGGAGTAAAGAAACTTGCCCAAGGTTTCGCCCTGCCTGGAATTGAACTCAGGTCTCTCACTTGCAAAGCGAGTGCTCTAACCACTGAGCTACAGGACTCCTCCATAATAGGAAATCCCTTAATGAAAGAGAGATAGCAAGCAAGAAAGCAAAAAAACAAATTGCATTTGTATGGCACCTTTTAAGTTGGGAGGATGTCCCAAGGCTTTGGATAGTCAGGGATTTGGACTCATAGGGATAGAAGGGTGACCAAAGGTGCGGTCAAAGAAGAGGGTCTTGAGACGTGCCTTCAAGGAGTTAAGGGAGGGAATGAGGCAAAGGGACTGTGGGATGGAGTTCCAAAGGGTGGGGGCAGAGAGGCGGAAGGCCTGACTAGCAATGTTGAGGCTGGTCGAGTGGGGGATGTGGGAGCAAACAGGTCGATATAGAGTTAACAAGTTAACAAGTAGCAACATTATGTTTATGTAACATTTGGCAAGAAAACAAATGGAGTTCTATGTATTTTGTTGATGGAGTCCACATTGCTGACATTGGGCAGCCATCTGGTAACTAGTGGGAAATGCGTACATCTTAGGCCACAAATACTCCATCCCCCTCACTTGACCACAGAGGACATGACAGCCAAGCCTCATCTCTTCTCACCCCACCTCTCCCACACATTTTAGTGGATAGTGATCAGGAGGGGAAACTTTGGCTGATGTGCCTCTCCTCAAAGTGAAATCAGCAAACTCAGGATTTGTCTCCATGATCTATAACCTGCTTTACCCTCAAGCTGTCAATGCAATTAGTTTTTCAACCAATTCGCCAATTTTTAACCATAATCTCATAACCATAACCATAGTAAGTACAAAGTAAAACGACATCTTCAAATATAGATGTATATATTCAGATCCATTTTCTTATGTCATTCGTTTGTCTTAGTTTGTGATTCTATACTGAAGAGGATACAAACCACATTGCATCCTCTTCAACAAGTCACCAAGGTAAAGCCATGTGCCAACAAAACAGCAATGAGTGGACAGTAATCTTGGAAGGAGGGTGCCCAACCCCACCCTCTAACAGAAAGTGTTTTTAAAAATATATTTTAATGTGTATTTTAATCACTATCCGCAGTAGGATATATTCCTGTAATTTCAGAATGTGTAAAGTGGATATAATCGCTGCAGAGTCTCATTAATCCTTTTCGAATCTGAATTCCATTAATCCACTAAGCTGTTAGACCACATTTCAGCACCAAAATAGATGATACCGGCCTTGGTGGTTTAACAAACAATAAGCTACTGAGCAAGGTATACAGCAAAAACACGTTGTGGTTTGATAGTCACACCCACAGCTCATGCTGGTCGATCCCTTGTATATGAATGAAAGTTGTTGTTGTTGTATATTTCCAGCATTTCGTTTCTTTATTTCCTGATGTGTATCTCTTTTACCCACTAACAACAACTTGCATTTATATAACACCCTTCACTCAGATACATCTCAGAGCCATTGACAGTGGTGTGGTTTGATGCCGAGCTGGAAAGAGAGATGAGGTGACTGAAGACACGGTTGAAGATGAAAGTCTTCAGGTGTGATTTGAGGATTGGCAAAGATGGTGGGAATGAGGCAGGGAGTTCCAGAGATTTGGGACATGATGTCTGAAAGCATTAAAGACCTTTGTTCTCCCCTCTCAGGAATATCCAAGCTTTGTCTGCAGGTGCACAAGGATTGTGCAAACATATTGAAACTCAGTAGAAAAAAAACAGAAGCTTTAACTATTTTCAGAACTTTTTTTCCTCTTTATAATAATAATAATAATAATAATCCTTGCATTTGATATAGCGCTTTTCACGTCGGGAGGACGTCCCAAAGCGCTTCACAGAATAGACTGTAAAGTGAATTGACTGTATATTTGTGGGCGAACGCGGCAGCCAATTGCGCACAGCAATGTCCCACAAACAGTCGTAGATTGAAAATGACCAATTTATTATTGTTTTGTTTTTTTGGAGGGATTATTATTAGGCGTGTGGAGTAAGGAAACTTGCCCAAGGTTTCGCCCTGCCTGGAATTGAACTCAGATCTCTCACTTGCAAAGCGAGAGCTCTAACCACTGAGCTACAGGACTCCACTTTATTCCCCTTCAGTCGGGTTTCCGTGCTGCCCATAGCACAGAAACTGCCCTGGTCAAGGTCACCAATGACATCCTGATCATCTGTGACCAGGGCCCCCTCTGCCTCCTCGCCCTATCGGCAGCATTCGATACGGTCGACCATGCTATCCTCCTTCACCGCCTGTCCTCCCACCTAAACCTTCAAGGCCTTGTCCTTGAGTGGTTTAGGTCGTACCTCTCCCAACGTCTCCACTTTGTCTCCACAAATGGTTTTTCCTCCGGCCCCTGCACTGTCTTGTGCGGTGTCCCTCAAGGCTCTGTCCTCGGTCCCCTCCTCTTCACCCTCTACACGCTCCCCCTTGGTGACATCATCCGCAGACATGGGGTTAACTTCCACATGTATGCGGATGACACCCAACTCTACCTTTCCTCCTCTACCCTCAACTCCACGACCACCGATGTCCTGACAGCCTGCCTGTCCGACATCGAGTCCTGGACGAGAGATAACTTTCTCCAGCTCAACGTGCACAAAACTGAGGCCCTCCTGTTTGGCTCGCGTCAGCGCCTCCGCACCTCAGGCGCTGACACCATCAGCATCCAAGGCTGCAATCTACACCCCTCAAAGTCAGTCAGGAACCTCGGGATTCTGTTCGATCCTGAGCTGTCCTTTCTCCCTCATATCCGCGCCACAACTGGCACCACCTTTCATCACCTCTGGAATATCGCCAGACTACGGCATTACCTAACCCCTCACGCTGCTGAAACCCTGGTCCACCCCTTTATCACCTCAACGCTGGACTATGGGAACTCTCTCCTCGCCGGCCTTCCCGCCACCTCCCTCCACAAGCTGCAGGTCATTCAGAACTCTGCAGCTCGTGTACTGTCCCGCACCAGGCTTCGCGACCACATCACTCCCACCCTCGCTCGCCTCCACTGGCTCCCCATCCCCCAGAGGATCGAATTCAAGATCCTCACCCTCACCTACAAGGCCATTCACGGCCTTGCTCCCTCCTACCTCTCTGACCTACTATCCCCCTACCTACCTGCCCGTACCCTCCGTTCCTCTGGCTCCGGTCTGCTCCACATCCCCCGCCCCACCATCGGTGGCCGGGCCTTCAGCCTCTCAGCCCCGAGGCTCTAGAACTCTATCCCCCAGTGCCTTCACCTTGCCTCCTCCCTTTCCTCCTTCAAGGCCGGTCTCAAGACCTTTCTCTTTGACCGTGCCTTCAGCTCCCCTCTCGACTCTCTATCCCCTCCTCGCTCCCTCCTTTCCCTCCCCTCACCCTGACCATTTCCCCCCTGCTCGGGTCCTGACCCAACTGTCCAGTGCCTTGGGACGTCCCCCCGACATGAAAGGCGCTCAATAAATGGAATCTTGTTGTTGTTGTTGTTGTTTTACATGGGCTCCAATGTAAAAAAAACAATCTAAACACTTCAATATAAAACTGATTTGATTTTATGGAATCAAAACTTAGTTTTGAATGTGTTTTGGGGTTTTAGTTTTTAATGTTACAAGAGATTTGTCCTCATCAGTTTAGGTTGGCTTTTTTTGTGATGTACAAAGAGGTTGAGCATAGCTAAGGTGTTTTGCACACAGTTCACTTACCTGTGCTGAGAAATCAATCATTTTTGGTAACGTCAGTTTTTTTCCTTCTTCAGTCTTCAAGAAGTCTAGTAAACTACCTGTTTCATAAGGAAAATATATTTTTTAAATAATCAAATTCACACTATTGCCTCTTCAAAAAATTGGCAACATAAAGCAGGCAGGAGCAGCCATCAGTTAATTTGATATAATAATAATAATAATCCTTGCATTTGATATAGCGCTTTTCACGTCAGGAGGACGTCCCAAAGCGCTTCACAGAACACACTGTAAAGTGAATTGACTGTATATTTGTGGGCGAACGCGGCAGCCAATTGCGCACAGCAATATCCCACAAACAGTCGTAGATTGAAAATGACCAATTTAATTATTGTTTTTGGTTTTTTGGAGGGATTATTATTAGGCGTGTGGAGTAAGGAAACTTGCCCAAGGTTTCGCCCTGCCTGGAATTGAACTCAGGTCTCTCACTTGCAAAGCGAGTGCTCTAACCACTGAGCTATAGGACTCCACATATATATCTTCTTCTAGATATCCTTAGTTAACAAAACTGTATCTCGTTCAGTTTTGAAAATAATTCATCGTACAATACATTACAACATGCATTCCTTTTTTGCATTAAATCACTTTCAAATGTAGTAGCCCAAACACGCATATAAAGATTTGAAGATTTGTGGAACACTGCACTGCGCAAATTGACTGTCCCATTAGTCTACAAAATACAGTCACTTTACTTCAGAGTATATCCTATGAAGCATTTTGAGACATCCTCCCAATGTGAAAGACACAATATCCAATGTAATTTTGTTATGATTTTTTAAATAATTTTTACCATTATATTTATTATTATTTTTAATTAGTATTATATTGAGCAAAGCCACATTGGAAGAGATATATTTTTAAAGGCAAGCAAAGACTAAGGTACTTCAAGGCTTTACAGATTAGGTAAACACCTAATCTGATTTATCAGGTTAATAAATGAACAGGGAAGGTTGAAAAGGTGCACAGTACTACCCTGATTCATTATAGCATTTTTCTGATTATGTACCAAAGGAGATAAAGACTTACCTGTGGGAAGGTGATATAAATCAGAACACTTCCTCGTTTAAGACACTAATGCTTGATGCTAAATGGGCACAGTCGCATTGTAAAATATTTTATAAAGGTCAAACACAAAACAAAATTACATTTGTATAGCGCTTTTCATATCGGGAGGACGTCCCAAGGCGCTGGACAGTTGTGTTTCGGACCTGAGCTGGGGTTCGGGATTGGGGAGGGTGAAGGGCAGGGAGGGAGGGTGAAGGGCGGGGGGGGAAGGAAAGTGATCAAAAGCACAGTCGAAGAGGAGGTTTTGATATAAGTCTTGAAGGAGGCGACGGAGGGGCAAGGCGGAGGGGACTGTAGGATGGAATTCCAGAGGGTGGGGGCAAAATTATTAATTTTGGAGTCCAATATTTAGACAGACTTGGTTTCCTAACCTAAATAAAAAATAAATGCACTGTCTATTAATGTATAGACTAACCATTGGCCATGAATTCGGCTATAATGTAAATTGGATCTCCTTTCGTTACTACAGCATAGAGCCGCACCAGTCTCTCGTGTAGGAGTTTTTTCATGAAATTTGCTTCTTCAAGGAAGGCTTCCACTGACATAGTGCCTGGCTTCAGCGTTTTCACAGCTACTTTGGTAGAATTGTTATAATAACCTAAAAGAAAAAACAAAACAGTATGCACCATAAATAGCAATCTCTGGAGAGTGTCACATTGTTTTCATACTTTGCTGACTGACACACAAATTAAGAATGGCATAAGTTATACATTTTACAGATAAACTTCCATTAATCAGACCTGGAGGTGCAGTCCTTCAGGTGAGATGTTAAACTGAAGTCAGGTGGACATTAGAGATACCATAAGATGCCACTATCCAATAAGAGAATGGAGTTTTATCCCAATGTCCTGGCTAACAAACCCCCAGATAACTGGTCATTCAATTCATAGTGAGATACCATAATGCAACTGGTTGATGCAAAGCGACTAACTGCCCTATGGCATCTCACTATGTTTAAGAAGAGCTCCAAGATGCTAACTTTGCATGAAGAGGACTATGCATATAGATATAAATGTTGCTGCTGCTGTTGAAATGATCAGCGTCAAATCCAATGGATTTATACTGTAGCACAACAATTCAACCCACTGCAAAAGAACATAAGAAGATAAGAAATAGGAGTAGGAGTAGGCCATTCGGCCCCTCGAGCCTACCCCCCCATTTAATAAGATCATGGTTGATCCACTAACCTAATTCCATTTACCCTTAATTCCTTTAGTTTTTTAGTCCTGTGATCACAATTCAGGGAAAAATGTTCAGAAATACATGCATTCAGAAAGTGTTATGTCTTTTATTCAGAAGTGAAATTCACCAATCTAAATGACTGGTGAGCAATCACCAATGCTCTGTTGCATTACAATTTGGATATTTTTTAAATTTTGTATTCCTTCCCCCTTGAAATTAGAGAAGCCTATACCAGCAAGTTTCATTTCCATTTAAAAAAGTTCAGCATTTTGCTCCAGTATTCTACAGGAAACAACAACAACAATAAATCTCCCCTTCCTTGATTGCATCATCATGGCCGCCTTCTGCAATGTATATTTCTAGGATTCCATGTTGATTTAATCTGTGGAGTCCTGTAGCTCAGTAGTTAGAGCACTCGCCTTGCAAGTGAGACACCTGGATTCAATTCCAGGCAGGGCGAAACCTTGGGCAAGTTTCCTTACTCCATACGTCTATTAATAAGCCCTCCAAAAACAAAAAACAATAATAAATTGGTCATTTTTTAATCCACGACTGTTTGTGGGACACTGCTGTGTGCAATTGCCTGGCCCGTTTCACCCACAAATATGCAGTCAATTCACGTTACAGTCTATTCTGTGAAGCGCTTTGAGACGTTGAGAATGCAAGGATTATTATTAATAACTAAGTTTGCATCTTGGACTTTCTGGGGTGATACTTTCCATATTCTCTCAACCCTTTGTGTTTAATAAGGTTTCCTACATTCACTTTTGAACAGCTTGCCTCTAATTTTAACATTCAATCCCCTTTGTTTTTGATTCCCCCACTGGAGGGAAAAGCCATTCTCTATCTTGCCAATGCTTATCAATTTGCCCATAAAATATACAGCCAATTCACTTTACAGTATATTCTGAAGGACTTTGAGACATCTCAAAGATGTGAGAAGGCGCTATATCAAATTATAACTTGTGATGAAGCTTATCATTTCACTAGCTTTCATGATTGCTTTAATGATGGCTAATGTGCTTGGATTCTGAAATCCTCCAAGAGTGGTATTGAAATCGAGTTGTGTGAACCCCCTTCCCCACCCCTTGCTGAGCACAGTTCGGATGTTTGTGGAGAATTACTCAGATAGATGCTAAAACATCCACTTGAATCATCAGGAAGCTTTACTGGCAAACACCAAAGACCATTTATGCAGGATTTACTGAGTCAGCAAAGCCAAGTTGCAGTCAGGTGGTTTGTGCTGACACTATGACGTTGGCTGGCGTTTTTGCACAACATCTGGGAAACCAAAGGCTGCAACATTTCCGGATGCAGTTGGGAACCATTGTTCATAGATCAACCTTGAAATGTCAAGAATTTGTAACCACAACATCACTTCAGTATGTCCAAGCAAATTAATTATACTTGGTCATCTGGTGTGAAAAAGAGGAAAAAATTAGGAAGGTCTGGATCAAGTTTAAAATCAGGTGCTTTTTAAAAAAGAACCCATAGCAGATTTTCCAATTAAAATCAAATAGGAACTTTTGACCATTTTGTTACAATGATGCATTCTAATTAGGCGCTATTAACAGTCTTTAAGATGCTATTCTATGAATTTTAATAACAATAAAAATCTCTACGACTCTGAAAATGTTGTTCTACAGAACCACAATATGGACAAGTTGAATACAATATTAACATTTTATCATTCAGATGAATTTACTGCCAGCAGTGATCGAATCTCAAATTGAGAAAAACAGTACAAGGTATATAATCTTGTGTTGGCCTTGCTCAGCTGGTAGCACCCTCACCTCCAAGTCAGAAGGTTGTGGGTTCACGTCCCATGTTGTGACTTCAACCTCATACAGACTAGGCTGACACTCCAGTACAGATGGGGGAGGGGAGAGGACGGTGCTGCGTTGTTGGAGGTGCTGTCCTTTGGATGAGACGTTAAACCGAGGACCTTTCTGTTTGTCCAGGTGGATGTTAAAAATTCTATGGCACTATTCAGAAGTAAGGGAGTTTCTCCCAGTGTCCTGACCAGTATCCTGACCAAGAATCCCCTAGGTAAAATTGGTCACTTTAAGGTTGTTTGTTGGATATTGCTGTGAGCAAACTGACTGCCGTGTTGGTCTACAAAATACACAGTCACTGAATTTTATATCCTGTAAATTGTTTTGAGCCGTTCTCATGATATGAAGAGCACTAAATCATTATTTTTCCTTATAATGCTTATTTAATGATTAGACAAGGAGCATTTTAGCAGCATAAACCAATCTCTCAGTTGCAACAGGAAGTATTGTTATTCTATCTCTCCAGACAGCCTGAAATGCTTATACTTCATTTCTATGGAGTGTAGCTTGGAACTCTGAGAAGTAATAAATACTGTAGCTCCCAATTCAGAGGTGTTTTTACTCTGTGAGATCCTGAGTTAGTATCAGAGCATTACAGCCATTTGGCCCATATGTCTGTGCTGGAGGTTTTCTCCAGATAAACATTTAATCTAATTCCCCTCTGCTCCTGGTCTCCATATCCCTCAATATTTTGTTTTTACAAGCACTATCTAATTCACTTTTAAAAGAATTGATAAACTGCTTTATGCTAGGTTTGCTGTTGAACTTCTTCTGGGGCATCCTCAAAACATTATTATCACATGTTCACAGTAGCAATAAAGAACAATGCTTTGTAAATTGTTGTCAGTGGATTATTTCAATAGGAATTAAAAGTTTAAACTTGTGGGTGGGAAGGGAAAAAATGCAAAAAACAAAACTTTGAGGATGCACAGAGAAAGTTTAGTCATTTCCATACATATGCACACTGCAAAGATAAATGACTAGGAAGGATTTTAATGTCAGTTTTTTCCTTTTTGCAATCCTTTTGTCTAGGAGAAATTCCACCTGGGTGTAGTTTTAATCTATTAACATAACATTTCAGAGCTACCTTTGGCAAATTCTTAAATCCAACCTTAATTTTGAAGCCTTTTCCTTTAAGTATCGAAAACCAATTTAAGAGTTAAGATTAAACACTTCACCAAATTCTAGATGCTATGAAATGTTAAGGAAATTCAATAAATATAGACCCAGGTGTTATTTCCTTCCCCTACATGTAGTTTAAAACAACCCTGGTATCATTTAACCACAACTTCATGTGGTCTGAATTTATCTGGTCCTTGAGCCTTTTTAACTTGGGTGGTTTCCTGCCCTATGGGCCTTGGCTCTTCAATGCTTCACAATTGAAGGAAACTGCGAGGAATGGGGTAATGAAGACCTGCCAATTGTAGTCTACACATGCCATTCACAATTCTTGGAAAAGACAGCTTTTTACAGACAGCTTTAGACTTTCAACTTTCGACCAAGGCCCATGGGGCAGGAAACCACCCAACTTAGAAACCATGCAGCAGTCACATTCATGTGGCCATATTAAAATCAATGTTCTACAATTGCTCAGGAGCTAAAATGCTTCATATACAGTTTACATTATATCTGAATATAACAAACCTTCATTCGGTTCGTAAGTGTCAGCAGGTGTTGGCTCCAGCCAAAAACTCATATATAACAGAAGGATGCATTAATTCTAAATACAAAATCCAGTTAGAACTCCTCTTGATTTGCAGGAATCCTGAAGTAGATCACAACAGAGCAGACTACTGTGCATTGATCCGGCATTTTTTGGGTCTGCAAATCGGACCTCTGTTCATTTCGAACATCTCTGAACAAGGATGGTAAGGGGAAGTTATAGTATTTGAAAGTAATGAAATTGAGCTCGATGAAGGTAGGATGAATAAACCCCAATATTCTGAGTTGACATGAGTCAGTTTCTCTGAAATCACAAGGTTATGACTTGGTTTTATAAAAAAAAGTTATCAGCTAAAGTTCCTTATGTCATAGCAGTGTCTGTATGTGTCACCAACATCTAGTAATTTGGTCCGTGTTTGTGTGTGTGAGAAAGGAAGGGGGTAGAAAGGAGAATAAGAATTGTGACAATTTTTAGAAGACTTTGATCATCTCAGACCTTTGTTATATTTTCCCCGTGACAACATACAATCATTGAGAAAGTATCAGAAACTTTACTCAGGAAATCTAGGGTCCTTTTTGCAGGTCTGTAGAGGAAGAGGAGTAGGAGGTGGAACCCCTGCCTTCAAAGATTATTCTCAATGACTGTCTGAGAAGCCAGGTCTGTGGTGAAGCATTGGCTGGTTAAAAGGAGACCATAAACAGGTCTTTCACTGAACAAAATTTCTAAATTCCAGCATTTCACTAACCGGCAGGTCCAGACTGCAATTCCATCAGTCAAAACCTGGTATCTCAGACATCGTCATTGTGAACAGTGTGCGGAATAAAGGGGGTAAATGAAGCCCTATTGCTGGATCATGTGATAAATACCACATTAAGTGCAAAATTGTACTGTCTTAAGACTATACAAATCGACAAAGATGAATCTTCCTACAGCTCTTAGTCCATCATCCTACATGCACCGATTCCATAGGGACATGGCACTACCAACACAGCTAGATAGAATTCCCTTTGCTCCAAATGTACAATAAGTTACAAAATGATCACACGTGCAGCAAACTTTGGGACAAAAACTACGCGCATTTGCCCACAAAAACACACCACAACATATCCTGTGAAGTTTTTTGGTACATCCTCCTGACGTGATAGGTGTTATACCAAATGTAAGGATTATAATTGATTTCTAAAACTTTCTGTGTAAAGACAGTTTCAGTGACAGAAATAAATTTAAATTTATAAACAGATTGATTTGATAAGGACTTGCATTTGGTCAATTTAACATGTCTTCCTGATGCAAAAAACGTTGGGTAAATGTAAATTGTTGCTGCTGTTGTTTTCGGTGAGCTGTGGAAGAAATCCAGGATGAAGATGCCCAAAGGTTGTTAGTTTTTTTCACGCTCTATGAGTTACCCTAAATAAGCCTGTGCTGCAGGTCCAGTAAAATGCAAGCAGAGGAATTGCCAAGGAGGAAATGCACAATGCCCTACATCAACTTCCCCACTATATTCCCAAGTTACCAAAGGAATTTTTTTTTCATCCAACATACACGTCAATTCAGCTGCTGAAGTTAGAGGAAACATCTTGCACTTCAGACTGCACTAAATATTTGATTTCTAAAGACCTGAGTAACTTCCTGGAATTATACTCATTTCTTCACTCTATAAAAGTTAAATGTTTACCAACGTTAAGCTTATTTAAGGCGATAGTATGAACGTTGAACCATTTAAATCTAGGATGAAATTTCCACATTCTAGTCATTACTACTTTAATGTGCATTACTGTGGTTTTAAGCTACTGGAGTTAAAATTAAAAGTTGTGGTTGATAACTATCAATGTTAAATATCACATTGTTGATAAATGCAGTCAAAGAGGTCAGTCGCTAACTAACGACCTGAGTTGTTAGTGTCCCAAATGTCGGCTTTTGACATTGGGGGAGAGAGGGATGGGGGGGCGTGGGGAAAGGAAGAGAACTGGGTAATGAAAGCTGGTAGCTGATCTACTTTAAAAGAGTCAAATGGGTTATCTACCTAAAGAACGATTTGCATATGAACACAAAGTGCAGTACAAAGTATGTCAAAACACATCATTTAGGTTCACAGCTGATGCCATTGTAGCAGCTCTAACCCACCACTCTCGCATTTCTCAAACACCACTTTCTCTTTCGACACCTTCCATTTTAGCTGAGTACAAACAGTACTGGTCCAGTTTGATATGGTTTCCAGTTTTGCTCTTCACACACTTGCAATATTAATGAGTTCAACAGCCAGTCCACATACCCATCCACACTTCTCCGAACTGCCCAGCTCCAAGCTTCTTAACCAGCTTCACAGATTCCCGTGGGATTTCCCATGCATCCTTGTCCCAGGGTTTTTGTGGTTTAGGGCTATGACAGGGAACTCCAAGCTTTCGACAGAGTCCATCAGATTGTTCTGTGGTAAATCAAGCATCAGAAGCAGGTAAATATTAAACACAACCCCACCATTACTATATGAACTGAGACACTTCTGTTTGCCTCCCATCAGTGCCTCCTCACCTCAGGCACTGACAGCATCACTATTTATGAATATACTCTCCACCTCACTGAGCCTTTATGGAACCTTGGTACCTTGTTCGACCCTCAACTGTCTTTTAACAACAACAACAAAATTATATTTGTATAGCGCCTTTCACATCAGGAGGAAGTCCCAAGGTGCTGGACAGAGTTTCGGACCTGAGCTGGCGGTCAGGGTGGGGGAGGGTGGAGGGCAACAACAACAACAACAACAAGATTCCATTTATAAAGCGCCTTTCACGTCAGGAGGACGTCCCAAGGCGCTGGAGGGGAAGCAGGGAGATCGAAAGCACGGTTGAAGATTAGGGTCTTGAGGTGGGTCTTGAAGGTGGCGAGGGAGGGGGTGATGTGGAGGGTCTGCGGGATGGAGTTCCAGAGGGTGGGGGCAGAGTGGCGGAAGGCCCACCCATCGATAGTGGGGCGAGCAAGACGGAGCCTGCTGAGGGGAGGGAGTGAACGGGTGGTAGGGGGTTAGGAGGTCAGAGAGGTAGGGAGGAGCAAGACCGCGGAGGGCTTTGAAGGTGAAGATCAGGATCTTGAACTGTATCCTTTGTGTGATGGGAAGCTAGTGGAGTTGGGCAAGGATGGGGGTGATAGGGTCGCGGAGCCTAGTGCGGGAGAGGACACGGGCCGCAGAGTTCTGGATGATCTGCAGCCTGTGGAGGGAGGAGTTGGGGAGGCCAACAAGCAGTGAGTTTGCATAGTCAAGCCTCGATGTAATGAAAGTGTGTATTTTAAACTCCACATCCATGCCATGATCCGTTCTGTCGTTTTTCCCCACCTCCACAATATTGCCCGCCTCAGCCACTACCTCTCCCCTCAGGCTGCCGAGACCCTCATCCGCAGGCTTGCCTAGTCTAACACCCTGCTCACCGGACTTCCCAACTCTTTCCTCTACAAGATGCAGATTATTCAGAACTTTGAATCTCATGTCTTCTCCCGCACTAAGCTCCATGAGCCAATCACCCCCTTCTTCACTGACTGCCCCATCAATTAAGATCCTTTTCTTCACTTTTAAATCCCTCCATAGTCTTGCTCCTCCCTACCACTGGGACCTACTAAATCGTTACCAACCTGTCTGCTCAGAGGGCAATGTCCTGCTCAATGTCTCCCCCCTCCCCTTTTGCCCTCCACACCTCTTAAAACACCAAATGCCAACTTGGGTGCAAACTCTGGACTGACCAAGCATTGGGACATCCTCCCGACATGAAGAGAACTAGATAAATGTTATTGAACATTCATGCTCCTCAGCAAAACAGGGAAGGGCAAGGTTCATTATGTAACGTGTTATACATGTAAAGCCACCACAGACACTTTGCTTCCTTGTTGAAATGACTGCAAATACTTTGCATCCAGAATTAATTTTTTTTTACCTTGGGTGCAGAATTTGTGATATTCACAAAATGGATAAATTACATTAACTACAGCTTTTGGTTGGTTAGTAGAGTGCGAACCCAAACTGACAAAGTGCAAAAAAATACCATGTCAAGCAAGTCTTTTTTCAGACTTTGCCAAACTGGGAACTACAAATCAAGAGATTCCTCTTTGCAAATTCAAATGGGGGAAGAGCTTGAACTAATGAGACTGTTTCGTCCAACAGGGCCCAGTACACTCGCAAGCCGCAAGTTTTCCAAATGGTCAACAATTGGAGTTCCTTCCCACATTACATCATTGTGTTTCCACATTGATCTGTGGCACTCTCAGATTTCAGTCACGTAACCATACAAAATAAATTCACTTACTTTCATAATGTTGAATTAACTCATTTAAATCAGTAAATGTAATTCTGGGCGAGATGTAATAGCCTCCACTGTCCAGGCATCGGATCTTATAGTGCTTTACTACCTCGCCTATCTGGTGATCGTAATCCTGCAGAGACAGCGAGTAACTGCCTGAAAGAAAAAATACACCAAAATTCAGAGTGGAACCAAAGCACTGCCTGGAACACAGCACTTTCAATATGGCCAAGTTTTTATATTCACAATTCCAGTTACAAATACTCAGTCTTGCCCTCGGTATACAGCACACTTTGGAGTGAAGGGTATTTGTTCATGGAAAGTAGGTATAGCACTCTGGGATGCTACCCTGCATGAGATTCGCTATATAAATCCAAGTTGCTGTTGTATAACATAACATAATTTGTAGGAGCAGGAGTAGGCCATTCAGCCCTTCGAGCCTGCCCCGCCATTCAATCATGGCTGATCTTCTAATCTAACTCCAGCTAATAACCTAACCCTGCCTTATCCCCATATCCCTTAATCCCTTTTGCAATAAGAAATCTATCTATCTCAGTCTTGAATATGTTCAAGGACTGAGCGTCAACAGCCCTTTGGGGTAGTGAGTTCCATACATTCACCACCCTTTGAGTGAAGAAGTTCTTCTGCAACTCAGTGCGAAAAGGCTGGTCTCTGATTTTAAGGTTGTGACCCCTGGTTTTAGTTTCTCCAACCAGGGGAAACAATCTCCCACTATCTACTCTATCATGCCCTTTGATGATCTTATAGGTTTCTATAAGATTCCCTCTAATTCTTCTATATTCCAGAGAATATAGGCCCAAATTGGTCAGCCTATCCTCGTAACTCATCCCCTTCATCCCTGGTACTAACCTAGTAAATCTACGCTGCACCCCCTCCAAGGCAAGTACATCCTTCCTTAAATAAGGAGACCAAAACTGGACACAATATTCCAGGTGTGGTCTCACCAGGGCCCTATACAGTTGCAGCAAGACTTCCCTACTCTTATACTCTAATCCTTTCATAATGAATGCTAACATACCGTTCGCCTTCCTAATTGTTTGCTGCACCTGCAGACTAACTTTCTGTGATTGGTGTACAAGGACACCCAAGTCCCTCTGGACACTAACACATTCCAATCTCTCCCCTTCTAAAAAATAACCTGCTCTACTGTTTTTGCTACCGAGGTGGATGACTTTGCACTTATACATTATACTTCATAGAATAAAGTATAGAATAAAGCTTCCGATAACTCATGTGGAGTCCTGTTGCTCAGTGGTTAGAGCACTCGCTTTGCAAGCGAAAGACCTGAGTTCAATTCCAGGCAGGGCGAAACCTTGGGCAAGTTTCCTTACTCCTTCCTTACTCCACACGCCTAATAATAATCCCTCCAAAACGAAACAATAATAAATTGGTCATTTTCAATCTACGACTGTTTGTGGGCCACTGCTGTGTGCAATTGGCTGCCGCGTTCGCCCACAAATATACAGTCAATTCATTTTACAGTATATTCTGTGAAGCACTTTGAGACATCGAGAAGATGTGAAAAGCGCTATATCAAATGCAAGGATTATTATTATTATTATTATTATTATTATCTTACACATGACCAATTCTACATGATGCTGCTTGGGGTGTCAAAAGTGAAATGTTTTCTATACCTTAATGTAACTTCCACTGTTGTCCAAATGAAAATTAGCCATTTTTTCTACAAAATAGCATTTGGTAATGTGGATAATTTCAGGTTTCCCAATTGCTGTCCACTGTTCCCCAGGAATTGACTTCATGACCCTCAATGTTCTCTTCCCACAATATCTCTACAATGTCCTGTGCAGCTAGAAGCTGGAAGACAGGAAAAGGCCTACCTTTTGATGTTTCACTCTCACGAATGAGGAAAGCTCCTGGTTTATTTCCAGATGCTACAAGTAATCTCTCAGAATCTTTACGGCTGATATCTTTGAAGAACCATCTAGAAAACAGACAGTATAAACCATATTTACTTTGCGTGCATCAAGCAAATAAAATGCATAGTCGCATCTTTTGGTATAAAAACAGTAACATACTCTTTGGTTTCCAGCGTGTTGACTTTTGCCACATAATTACTGGGTATAAATCCCTCCTTCCTAGTTGCTAGAGACTTAGCTTTCCACCATTCACCGTGCCTGAAACAAAGAATAAAAACACATTGAAATGTATTTGACTTTGAGAAAGATAACACAATATTATCTGTTTTACTCCCTGAGGTTAGCTGTGCGACAGTAAATGCAATCTAATTTTAGATATAGAATTAAGTTTTACGTATAAAACATTATTTCTAATTCAAATTGCGGTTACCATAATTTACAAGCATACAGGGTCAAATCATCTAAACTCAGCAAACAAAGCAGCACAGCACTAAGTCCACATTCAAGATCCACCACAAAGCAGAATCAAAAATGTCTGCCTTCCTCGGCTACAGTATGAAATATTGAATTGGACAAAAGGACTACCTATTAATTGCAGTCTTTCAGATAACATGTTTTCATCCCCCATGGAAGCACTTTGGTTTAAGAATATCCAGAGAATGAGTGGATACAGCTATCAAAAAAGACTGGACAGATTGGAGCTTTTCACTCTGGAGATGAGATGATTCTGAGAGCACGACAACAATAACTTGTATTTATATAGCGCCTTTCACGCAGGATGGTGTCTCAGAGGGCTTAACCTGAGAGAGGTATTTAAGACTATGAAAGATTTGATAAAGTAGATGTTGACAGGCTGTTTCCACTAGTTCAAATTGAGGAAGCGTAAATATAGGATAGCCAGTAGCTGATGTAAAAGGAAATTTAAGAGGAACGTCTTCACGCAGAGAGAGGGTGGTGAGAATGCTAGAAACTGCAGTTAAAGCAAAAAAGCATCAACGTATTGAGGGAGAAGGAAAGAGAGGCAAGGACAATGGCTCATGTGGAATATAAACACCAGCACAGACGAGTTGGACCAAATGGTCTGTTTCCGTGCTGTATTGTTCTCTTTAATTCTATGCCCTTGTCAGAGCTGAGTTCTCGAAGGTCAGTGTGCAATACGTGGTGATCTACAGAGGATGTAATTTATCCAGTTTGATGGGCTATTTACTATCATTTTCTGGATAATGGGGACTCTTACCTCTCTGAGATGTTACCCGCATGAAGGGCGCTGTATAAATGCAAGTTGCTGCTGTTGTAACAAGAACAGTATCACAATGACCCACAACAATGCTGCTCTGAGACAATCAAAATAATAAACAATAATTTTTTGGAATGTCTTTCAAATTCCAATACAGCAACTTGTATACATGAGTTGGTCCCGTAGGAAACATCCCAAAATACTTGATGAGCAAAAGGCCCACAAGAACCCATTGAGATGATTCCTGAGATAATTCCCCCATTCCGCCTCCCACCCAACATTCGAACTACACTTCTCTCCTGTTGATAAATGTGATAAACGTTTTCCATTTGTTTTCAGGGCTGAAAGGAAAGGCAATTATCTTGCATTTGTTCTTTGTAACAGGAAGGAAAATGCATATACTGGAAGGAGCTCAGGAAGATTACACAGTACAGAGTTCACAAGTTTACAGCAGCAGATCCGCTGTTGAAGTCATCTGGTGTCCAAAGGACCTACGTGGGAGTTCTGATAGCTTCTGCTCAGGAAATGACTTCACACACACATATTGAACTTCAACAATGATGCAAATTAGCGAACCACACGTGACAGTATTGTGCTCAAAAGCAGAAGCTGTATTTAAGCAACCCTTCGGTTTTGTGAACTAGTCTTCAAAAAAAAGTGGACATGAATAATTCCTCAACCTTGAATCTTTGAGAGAAGCACATTGTATTGGCAGCATAACAATCTGTTTTATAATCTAATTCTGGGAGAGAAGAATCATGATGGATGCTGGCACAATTAAGTTAGGACGTAATTGTGCAGAGAGCAAGTGGTTTTGTCCGGTGAAGGAAGGTCAAGGAGTAATTTCCTCTCATTTCCTTTCAGTCCATGGAACGAGATTACATAACAATGCAACTGTCCATCCCAGACTGATGGAAGAGAATTTCAACTTGTCAGCTAGTTTTAAGGAATTGAATTGGACAATCTATTTATCTGTATTGATATCCATTTATCTGTATTAATCTACCTTGGTCAAAATATTTTTTTCAAAAAATATTGCCAAATGTCCTCCTCTGCCCTCTCCGTGTGAAAAAAAATGCAATCTTTTTTCTTCAATTGGATTACAGTTACTGAGGTGCTGGGTGCCCTTTAGGATCTCATCTAAGTGGCATTAGGCATGAGTAAGCCTCAAAAATTGAGTATTTTTAGAGACAGAGGTGTTACAGCCAGGTCCAATGTGATTCATCATCTGATGTCGACACATACTCAGCTTCCTGCTAAGGTCTCTGGTTAATGAACAGCTTAGCTACCCAATTTGCCGTCCCTAACACATGGCCATTTTTAACGGCTCAGCTACTGTTCCAGCTAACCCAGTGCAGCGTTTGAACCTGCAACTTGCTGGCATATATAGCCTGATGCTGCAACAGTTGGTGCCTTTACAGCAAAGGAAGAGATGTTCATTAAAGGTTCACTGCTCATTTGTAAACAGATTCCTGCTGTTTGCACTGACCAAAGTGAATAACATGCATTTCCAATGGCATATAAAAACATAAAACACTTACTCTTCAAGCACTTTCAATTTTTCTCCTTTCTTGAAAGACAAGTCATCTTTGTGGTTTCCATCATACGGATACAAGGCAATGACTACTTTCTCATCCTTCTCTGTTGAGGACATACAGAATGGGGAGGTTAATCTCACATGTTAAACAGAACACAAAATATGTTCTTTGATCACCCAAATGGTCACATTCCCCATAAGCATACCTTCCAAATCTTGGAATCGCTGTCCAGGTAAAAGGTACGGTTCCTTCTTTGTTTTCTAAAACAAGACATTTATTCAGTAACTGGAATATTGTGAATACGTAATGCTAAATATTTAATATTTTTGGTCAGCTGTGTGTTTGACACCCATTGCCATGCTTAAGAATATCCAAACCAGAGAGTTTAACATAAATGGAAAGGAATGCACACTCTTCCCACCGTAGGGAAGCATGCTGTTTACCTAATTCTGGAGAGTATTAGGAGTAGGTTGGTGAAAGCCATGGTTTAGGGACCCTAGAGTGTGCATTGGAGTACTATTGGAGTTTAACCAGCTGAAACCACATAGCTTGCCACTGGGAACACTGTCCATTTAATATGGTGATTGCTATGCCAAACACACATCCATCATATTGTTTCTTGTATCAACATACACAATGATTAAATCTCCATTTGGGATTATTGGATTAAGGGCACATGTACACACAAGTTCCATTAAAATTACAAGGGAAGGCCATCAAGCACATTGATAGATATAAGCGCGTCAAATCCAAACTAGTTAAGTGTGGGATGAGGAGTCATCTATCTGAGATGCATTTTGCAAATACTACGTTAGTGACTTCTTGATAACCTTGATGACTAATGGCTACACATCACAAGTCACAGAGAAAGATGGGAATTTTAGTTTAGAAAGGGTTTTAGTTTAGAAAGCACCTGAAGACCTTCCTCATCGACCGTGCCTATGGTCACATCCCCCTCCCTCCTGCTTGGTGTTATGCTCCGCCACTGTCAACCGCTCTGGGAGGGGCACTACATAAACGCAAGTTGTTGTTTTGATGTCCGATTCACATTTTCAGAAATCTCTGCCCCCAACTGATCAGATAGGTGGCAACCTGAAACACTGCATTGCGAAGTTGAAGTTTCTTTTAAAAAAAAGACAGGGACTCAAACTTAATTTTGAAAAAAAACACTTTCAAGATGGAGCTAATTCTAATGGATTTTAGAAATCCATTCTTATAACCTCATTCACAGCATAGGAGGTTATTCATTCCTTCCAAACTGGGACTGTTAAGCTTCATGAGACATCCTCCCAACCTGAAATGTGTTCTATAAATGTAAATTTGTGTTGTCTATGGAGTCTGCACCAATTGTGACAATATCAATTAAGTACATTCTGGTTAGTTATGAAAAACAAACAGCAGATGTGAGCAGGATATTGTACTTTGTGTGCGCACAGACTTTCATGTGTGGATCTATGGGTGACCGGGAGATCCACTCACTCTGTTTATCTCAAGGTGAAATTGCAGGGTTAGAATAACCAGATTGCAGTCAATGATAATTATAATGATAGACTGTGCACAGGTGTGTGACTTGCTCTCCCTCCCACTCCACCAGTTCAGCATAATGGTTGGGTCCAAAGTCTCAGAGTGCTGAATTTGAGCATTGGTTCCCAGGATACAGACTTAACACAGGTTGTTTTTGTTGAGTTAAAAGCCAGCATCTCAGAACCACATTCAATGCTACATTTAGCAGCCAGTGACCACAATGGTGACTTCAGGCCCAGCAAACGTTTGGAGGGTGGGGGAGAAGAATCACACCTTTTTCAAACATACATTTTTCAACAATGTGATAATTATCGCAACCACTTTATAATTTTCACTCTGTCGTTTGAAGTGGATACAATAGACCCCAATTTGGCATTTAATGATTTAAATTGCATTGAGAATGGTTCAGAAAACACAATTAATTTGCAAGCCCATGACTTAAGTATATCAAATGCTAAATGCAGCAAAAGCAAATTATTCGGGTTTTTATAGTTGCAATGAGCAATAATAAATATTGGACAGGTCAGTCAGGCACACATAGTATCTAACTACGTTCAACTGAAATTGCCTCTTAAACTCTCCTCACGACTTACTGGCACTTGAATATTGCATGTGGGATCTCTCACATATATAGTTGGATCGGATTTACGTACTGGTTTTTCCTTCAATTCATTTGATGCTTCATTGAAGTTCTTCTTTGACTTTGATTTTATACATCCCATATTTTCTGTAAAACAACATGTCCATGAAAGTTTACAAAACATTAAGTCTTAGGCGTCCTTCAGGTTGCTGTTCAGTTCAAGTAGTATCTACAGTCCTATTTGCTGTGACTTCTGCTTTAGTCGTGAACAAATGGATATTAAACAACTGTTCAACAAATTTATAAAGAACCCAACAGAAGGATTTAAAAGGTATATATTCTTTCAAAATTCTCTTTTAACTATAAGAAACACAGACGACATATAAGCGCTCCAGGACGCTACCCCATGTAAAGGGTACTATATAAATCTAAGTTGCTGTTCTATATCAAACCCATGGACTCTAATTTGTTGTAATTTGCAACAAGATTTAAGGAACCCCATTAAAATTCCTGTCATCTCACGGGAACCTATACTCTGGAAGTAGATTGTGTTGGAGTGGACTTCATGGGTTGCTGTGGTGTGTTTCTGATTACTGGAAAAATCCCCATTTCCTGACTTATGAACAATTGATATAGCACCTCATCATGTCATCAACATATCTCAAAGAGCTTTACGGGATCTATTACTATTATAAGTTGTAATAACTGCATATTTGTAAATTAATGTTGCAATCAATTTGCACATAGCAATGTCCCACAAACACCCATGAGGTGAATGACCTATTTTATGGGAGAATTGTTGATCAGGACACAAGGAGAAGATCCTTTCTCTTTTCAACCAATGCCATGGGATCTTTAACCTGAACAGGCAGACAGGACCTTGATTAACGTGTTATCTATAGAACGGCATCTTTGATAGTAGTCTTGGAGTTTCAGCCTAGACTATGAACTAATATGGGAATCCCATAAAGCAAGCAATCAAATAAATCCTAGAGTCCTGTAGCTTAGTGGTTAGAGCACTTGCCTCTCAAGCAAGAGACCTGGGTTCAATTCCCAGCAGGGCGAAACCTTGGGCAAGTTTCCTTACTCCACATGTCTAATAATAATTCCTCAAGAAAAAAAACAATAATAAATTGGTCACGTCAATCCATGTGGGACACTGCTGTACGCAATTGATTCCCGCGTTCTGCCCACAACTATACAGTCAATTCACTTTACAGTATATTCTGTGAAGCACTTTGAGACGTCAAGAAGATGTGAAAAAGCTCTATATCAAATGCAAGGATTATTATTATTTATTATAAATCAGATTCCCAATATTGATAGATGAGGAGGGAAGTATTAGATTGAAGTCAGATTATCAAAGCTTGTTCCCTTTACATGATATATGTTGGACTGCGCTCACCAAACTGTATGCTACTAGTGGAGATACATTGCCTTGACTACTGCACTTCATAAACAATTTACGTTAGCCTGGTGCAGTGGTAGCACTCTCGCTTTTGAGTCAGAAGGTTGTGGGTTCAAGCCCCATGTCAGTACATGGAATCACATAGTCTAAACTGACACTTCAAAACAGTGCTGGAGGTGTGCTGCATTGTTGGAGGCATGGTCTTTTGGATGAGATGTTAAACCGTGCCAGTTCAGGTGAATGTTAAAGATCCATCCCATGGCCCTATTTGAGAAAAGAAGTGAGTTCCTCCTGGTATCCTGGCCAACAAATCCTCCAACTAAAAGTAGTCACTCACCCCATGGCTGTTTATGCAAAACAGCTGTGTGCAAAACCAGCTGCTGTATTTAACCCACAAAATATTCTGTCAATCCACTTTACAGTTTATCCTGTGAGGAGCTTTGAGACGTCTTGACGACATAAGGCGATATATCAAATGCAAGGATTATTATAATACTGGATTATGTTCTTTACAGCAGGTAGTTGAATGGCTTTCACCCCAGCTCAACCTCAACACAGCTAATGTTTCTCTTTATTGCCTTGTTACTCATTAACCTTCAATCCAGATTTTTCTTCCTCATACAATCTACATGCTTTTAAAAGTGCAAATATAACTTCAGTTAGCTTTTACTTCATTTTTCTCTCTCACTCTTTGCATTTTCAACACTGTCCTAGGGTTGTGGGTCTTGCCATTCACCTAGACTTCGGATTATTAATCATAACCCTTACATTTGATATAGCACTTTTCACTTTGGGAGGAGTTCTCAAAGTGATTCACAGGATATTCTGTAAGTGTCTGTTCATTTTGTTGATAAATGTGGCAACCATTTTGTGCACAGCAATATCCCACAAACGGCCTTGAAGAGAATGAACAAATTTACTTAGAGGATTGGTGGCCAGGATAGCAGAAGAAACTTCTTTCTCTTTTTAAATAGTGCCATGGAAACTTTAACATCTACCTGAACCTGTAGGTGGACCCCAGTATTAATATCTAATTCTGAAAATTTGGATGTTATATTATTAAATTGTTGGAACAATAGTTCTTGCTTATGTACCTCAAACAAAATTTTATCTTAATTTGGAAATTAATTATTTTTAAGCACTACAGAAAGCTTTCAAATTTGACTAAATTGAACATTTTCCACAAATCTTACATTTTAAGACAACATAGTCTTAACACTGAAGTTTGGTAAAATTTCATTCCTCTCCTGTTTTCATCACAAGGTATCCTGTAGTGGTTAGAGCACTTGCCTCACAAGCAAGAGCCCCTGGATTCAATTCCCGAGCAGTGTGAAACATTGGGCAAGTTTACTCACTCCACCCGGCTCTGTTTCACCCCAACCCCAGCTCGGGTCTGAAATGCTGTACTCTGTCCAGCACCTTGGGACGTCCTCCCAACGTGAAAGGCCCTATACAAATGTAATCTTGTTGTTGTTTACCTAGCAGCAAGTAGGAACCCAGTTGTTAGTCACTAATGCTGCAATTTACTGTGCTTCTCACTGTTTTGATAAACTAATTAAACTTTGTGCGCTTCCCAAGCTGCAGCAGCTTGAATACCTTAGTGAAGCTTTTCCGAGATGCTTGAGATTACAAAGCTATGTACAGAGTCAATGATTTGTCAGGTTTTTAAATTTGAATCCCTAAAAGTAGCTATAGCAACCCCATAAAACACAAAATGATTTATTTGATAAGTATTAGTCTAAACAAGTGAAATTAGTGAATCACTGAACTTACCTGGTGGCTGTGTCAACAATGCTACATGACTAGGTAAACCATTCAGCTATTATCCAAATAATTCAGATGCTAACTCAGACTTTTTTTTCCCTCCCCAGTGTCCATTTGCAACATGTGGAGTCCTGTAGCTCAATGGTTAGAGCACTCGCTTTGCAAGCGAGAGACATGAGTTCAATTCCAGGCAGGGCGAAACCTTGGGCAAGTTTCCTTACTCCACACGCCTAATAATAATCCCTCCAAAACCAAAAACAATAATAAATTGGTCATTTTCAATCTACGACTGTTTGTGGGACATTGCTGTGCGCAATTGGCTACCGCGTTCGCCCTCAAATATACAGTCAATTCACTTTACAGTATATTCTGTGAAGCGCTTTGGGACGTCCTCCCAACTTGAAAAGCGCTATATCGAATGCAAGGATTATTATAAGTCTTTGCTTATTCTCCTCCTTTGATTAAATATAGCAAACCTTTCAATGAGCACATATGAAATTTCTTACCACTGGTGCTCAAAGCATTTGTATGCACTATACGGAGTACAGTAACCTTCTTATACATTAGAAACCTAAACAACAGTTGACTTCAATTCTCACCCCACCCTTCAATTGAAATGAAAATCTAATTTGAAAGTTCAGTGCCAAACACAAAAAAAACAATAGTGCCTAAGTTTTCCATGACCTGCTCTTTATTAGCATACATTCCACGGCATTCCTCAGCCCTGTGAAAGTCCAGTACTTTTGTTTGTTGCATCAACAGCAGAAGTCATACTTTGCTTATAAAATATATCAATGCACTTTACAGTAAATCCTGTGAAACATTTTGAGATGATTTCACGGTATTGTAAGGCACTAGATCGAATTTAAAGATTAATATTATTTATTTTAAACTAATTAAAGAGGTAAACATTTAGAATAAGAATTCACTCCATCTAGTTTGTTACCTCATTCTGAATTTTTTTTTGGAAATCAAACACATCCTACCTAAACTCATTTCTCTTTTAATTTTACTGGTGAATAAGCAGTCATATTTTCGAGTGCTTCAAATTTGTAACAACTCAAATTATGAAGAATGTAGTCATTGCACTAAATTTAGGTCTTTGAAAGATTTTTTTTAAAACTAAACAAGAATATTTTTCATTCAATTGATCTGTTTCCTAATTTAAATTATCTTGCTTATTTCTACATACCTACATTTTATCATTTTCCTCCAAGAATCCCAACACAGCAATCTCATTATGATTTTAATTTCAGTAATTTTCTTTTAAAAAATTGAGAAACCTTAATGAAGGTCAATGAATAGGACAACACCGAGGTTGGAAGAACGAAGGTGAGGAAAAGATGATAAGATGAAACTAAGAAGTAATACTGGAGTTAGGTGATTCCAAAGTTGGGTTTCAAAAACCTGTAGATTATAGAGGGATCAAAAGACAGAGGAAAATGAGGCCTGGGAAAGAATCAGTTAAGAGTAGGAAAAGCATAATATAGATCTAAATTTCAATTCAGTAAAGAGACAGGAAGGGGAAAGGGTGTGTAGGACAGTGTATTTGGAGCTAAAGAGGAACAACAGAGAAAAGGTTGGTAGAAATTAGCATTAGCAGTTAGCATCAATAAAATAGAGGAAGTTACTGTATCTACCCTCTCGCAACCCTAGTCTCCCAGACACTCCCCCATCCCCCATCCCTTGCTCCATCCCAGCTCGGGTTCCTGCTCAGCTGTCAAGCATTTTGAGATGTTCTCACCATGAAAGGCACTATGCAAGTGGAAATTGTTATTGATGGGGTCTCATTAGTGGTAAATATTTTGAACAGGAAATTTGAAGATTGGTTGGCAGAACACTTTGTCAAGAGCTGCCCTACTACATTACAAAATTACATTTGTATAGCGCCTTTCACATTGTGTAAAATCCTTAAAAAAAAGTGCCCTTACACTTCAAGTGACCTTATTTTTGCTGTTATCCTGGAGACCTTGTG